AGTTAAAAACATCACAAGTTGACACAAAACTCTTCAGCTTCAGCTGTCAAAGTAAACAAGTTTCAAGATGCTGCATAATTTTTTCGCATGAACTCACCTGTCAAATTTTGACCAATCAGAGTATAAAAATTGGACGTAGAGCGTGTCCAACGCGTGACCATGGTAAGATAAGGTCTTCCCCGCCTGTACTTTTAAAAAAACTGGCTGAATTTTCGCTTCCGAAGTCAGTTTGAAATCAAAATTCTAATAGTGCGGGGCCATAGTGACATAAACACAACATATTTGATATGAATCCTTGGAAAAAATAAACTTGAGCCTGCGATCATTTCAAACTGGTAATTTGTCAGCGGATAACTTCAAAAAATACTCGACCTTGATGGGTCGACACTTGAGTCCGCGCTACGGTCAGGTGATACTGGTCAGCGGATGCCCTGTTTTGACAGCTGTCAATTGATCACAACATTGATGTGAAATTAGTTTTCTCTTGGGCTCCCAAACTAGCTAAAATGTGTGAGTAAACATTGGTTTTCCTGTGGTGCGGACGGACGGTCGGCGGTCGGTGTACGGTCACGTGATTACCAAATTTTCTGGGATGGGTAGATTTACTTAGCAATGGGGCTCCGCCCACGCGCGAGCTTGGTGCGCGCGTGGAGCTCCGCTATAAAAGAATGCAATAGTAGCTGCTAGGTGTTGGTTAATGTTCGTAGGTGATATTTTAACGTAGGAACAATTACGTTAGAGAGCTTTGTAGTTGCAACGTTATATTCAAGCACATTGCATTGTCAAACATTATATGAACTGAATGATGGACAGTTTGATTTTGTAGCTTAGCTCAGTTTGTAATGAACTTTGAAAGATATTCTCATACCTCTCCCTTGTATTTTAGAAAGCTTTCATGGAACATACATGCATTTTATTATACAACGAAAACAGTCTCTGTTTCTGTTTTTACTGATTCCAGTCAATCCAGTTTATTCGCAATGTGAAATGGGAATCCTATTAAAAGGGGGGAGGTAGTTTCTACAATCCCCCAATAGGTCATCTGCCCGATGGCGCTATTTTATTACTTCGACCAGAAACCTTCAGGGTTTTGCTTTCTTGCGCAAATTAGAGCTTTTGTTATTTAAATTTCGCTGGGATTACCAGATTTATACAAATGAAAAGAATAGAATGTCGTCATTGTGAAAATGAGCTATAGCCTGTACATCAAAAGATAAGCACGGCGATCTGTCTAAGTTTTTATCTACCCAGGCTTAAATATCTGTAGATTCAAGGAACTAACCTTTGCGTTTAGGACACGCCAGACTCTGATTTTTGCATGCCCGGCATGCCGCAGATTTTGGCATGCCCGGCATGCCAGGGAATTTGGCATGCCGGCTATGTGAGAGAGTTTGGTATGCCCGGCATGCCTGAAAATTTGGCATGACCGGCATGCCGGAGATTTTGGCACGCGAGGCATGCTGGGTATTAATTTCTTATTAGAACCTAGGCTTCTCGCGACGCTGGTGGGAAGGTCACGGAACCTCAAAATATGCTTACAGGGCATGCAAATTTCCGTT